CAAACTTCTTAGAGTATTAAACATGCCCAGTAAATTTGAAGATTTCTGAATGAAATTTAGAGGTTTACGTGCCCTTCGGCGCTTACTGCACAACAATGAAAATTACCTTGCTGATGGCGACAGAGATAATGGTTATGTGGTTGAGGATCCGGAGGTTGGTGATTCCTTCGGTCGGTTGAGGTGGGAGGAGGAGTAGTGTCACCTCTTCCCAGTTGTTTGCAGGTGAGCAAATGGGCAATCTCTCTTTTTGCCCCTCTACCTTTCCATTGCGAAGCTGTTGGAAAGTCAACAGAGCTTTCCACTGCTACCCCCGACTGCCACGCCCCCTTTTCAGCGCCCCTGTTGACTGTGTCAATATTGACGCAGACCGTATCTCTTTATGACATATTTTTTGGCTACTGTCAGCAGAGCGCTGTGGCATTTCTGGGCCTTGTTGACATCCTCCCGTGGTCTGCGCCTCGGTTTTATTTCCCAGCTCTTTGAGCTGATATATATATATTAGCGTACTCGTGTATGATTGTGCGACTTGTTTTCTGGGACCAGCAGACAAAAATATAACCTTAAATCCCCTGTTGTCTGAACTTTGCTTTATTTTAGATGTGCTTTTGATGTATCTGTAGAATTTCCCGGTCTTGCGTCTCCTCTATTTGGGTTAGTGGGTAATGCAGCTCAAATTCATTCGCTGGGTGAATTATGAGTGTGGGAGAATCCCACAGATAAATAGGAGACCTGGGCCCCAAATCGATCGCATTGGCATTATGTTCTCGTAGCTGCAGACCGCCCACAAATCAGGTAAGAACTTCACTATATGAAGAGGTGTATTAACTTACGTTAAATTCAAAGGCGGTTGTTAAACTACCTTAAGTAAATGGGATTAAGGATTTGAAGAATTTTAGACAACGCTTATCTTAAAGTCACTTGTTCACGAACAAAGTAATATTATATCTATTAATAACCTCATGCAACTTTAATTGAAAATTGATTTTAAAATATTTCTGTAATCTGTAGTTTGAATAATAAAATAAATAATTTAATGTTTTTAATATAAATTAATTAAATTGTTTTCACACTTAAAAAGTCAAAAGCTTTCACAAAAGTCTGTTAAATCATAAAGAGAGCATTTAACTTTCGTTGCTTCCTCTCTTAGTTTGGGATTTCCCCTATTTGTTTTGGGTGGCACTTGATGGCTGGCACGCAAACAGAATCGGAAAAGCGAACCAATCTAGGGCCATAAATAAATCGAATCGCCCAGTTTTCCAACGGATCGGTATTGGGTGGGGATCTCTGGCGGGGTGCAAAGTCCGCAGACAGTTCTTGGAAGACGGCGACAGCTCCATCACATCGGACCCACATATCAGGCCAGGCGACAAGTGAGGTGTCAGCCATTGACAGGTTGTCCCTCCCCGAAGATCGCCTCCATAAACTGCAATTTAAGTGGCCATAAGGCAGGCAGATCACGTGATTGGTCACAGGGTGTCGCCCCGGCACATTAGAAGAGCAGGAGGATTTTAAATGACTCACTGCACAAAGGATCTCCTCAAATACGTGAAAGTATTCGGTTACCGATTGATTGAGAAAAGGGAAAGGAAAAGACCTGACCTCAACCTGATCGACATGCGGATTGAATTCTCTGTTTCCGCATTCTCAGCAGTGGCGATCGATTTGCCAGACAAATTGCACCAACTACCTCGAAATGTGCGAATCCAGTAGAGAAGAACCCACCGCAGAGTGACAGCTTGGAAACCCTAGCAGTGTACATGGAAATCATGGGCAATTCCTCACGATCTCTTTAGTTGGAGGTCTCGTATCGCATTTCAATGACGCGACCACATTCCGCGCACTTTGCAAGGTTTCAAAGCATATACATTTCTATTCCTGCACAAAGAGAAAATGGGTAATAATGCTTAAAATTTATAGGCTATTCAACTTTTCAGAGCGTTATCATTTAAAAACCTTATGGTATCACTACATGTTTAAAGATTTTTAGATGCAAGTTTTATCAGTATCCGTTAAGGGTGAATAACTGCAAAATAATTGTTGCTAAAATTATTAGAAATTGACATATTGTGTAACCATTAAAAATACAATATATATTAAATTATTAAGCAACAATCATTTTACTTAAACTGCAAACTAGTTTCAGTTTAAACATATAATGTTTTAGTGGTGTTTTTATAAGTAACCATACAATAATCTGTATAACAGGCAAATCCTGTTTAAACATTGTTTTTGTTATAAATCTCCAATTGTTTGCAGTGCTTTCCACTCAATTCCCCACTAAATTCAATCTATCTGGACTTGGCATTGTTCCAATGGCACGCTCTGAGTCTTGATTTCTGCTGGATTTTGTGTGTTTCTTGTGCGGTCAAGTTGCCTAAACGGGCGCCCAGTGTGAAATTCAATACGATTTTCGGGGTACGAACTCTATTAATTTAGAGTAGGGACCGCATATTGACATAATTGAGGCGGCAGTGGGGGCGGAAACATTTCCGCTGTGGTGCCGAATGCCGAGTGCCGACAAAGCTGCAGCCACGTTCCAATCTTGTCAATAAATCTCAATATCAAAATATGCTAAATGACCACCCGTATGTGAAATATATGCCCAGCCAATAGTTAGAGCCACATGGCCACAGAGAAAAAATGCAAATAACTGCACGAACTATCTGTGAGATACGCGCATAAATTTACAATCTATGTATGCCTGCGGATGAAATGGGTATCGATAGGATAGCACATAGTGCGCTATAATGCGGGATGGGGGGAGGAGGGGGTTGGGGTTGGTCGACATGGAGTTCGATTTCGATTTGGAGTTCAGTCTTTTTCATTAAATGCCGCTCTGAAGCAAACAATGAACCGTGTTGACAGGTCTCCGTTCCGAAGTCTTTGTGTATGATTGATTTAACCTGAATGGACTGACAGGTACGACGACAGGCGAACCGAACCGAACCGAACCGAAAGATATGGAAATCCACGAAAGATACTTGCGCTTATGCTAACGATATATGGGGGTCTTTGTGAGAGCTCAACAACTTCCATTTGGAGCGAAATTTAAAACGCTGTCGATCGTCGACAGCGACTTACATACGTATGTGGAATGTAGCTGGAAGATACTCGCTCGAATGCATATTCAGGAGTCCGCTTGGCATTCGGAAAATGAGTGCAGCTCTGTGACAGTAAGTTATCCAAGCAATCAATCATGGATTGAATTGTAAAACTTCTAATGGGCCAACAAAGAACGCCAGTTCGAAAACTCATTACTGATGGCAGTACAATTATCCAAGAGGCTGCGGTTGGCTGACCACCTCAGATGTGCAACGCAGGGAAAAAACAAAGGCAGGAATTCTTTTTCGGACGCAAGACAACCGCAGCGAAATTGATTGACAGCTGAATGATTTAATGAGCAACAAGATAAACGACGCCCTCTCGCTCTTTCCGCCGAACTGAAAACCGCAGCGAAATGAATTACTTATTTTCATTTGAATTTGAATTTAAATTCCCCCGCAGTATCTTTTTATCTTTTGTTGCTGCTGCTGCTGCTGCTGCTGCAGTTGCAATGCGGCGGTCCATAAAAGATACTTATCTCGCTCACTCCTTCCCATTCGCTCTCTTTCTGTCCGCCTCTCGCCATCTCTCTCCACCTGGGGAACTTTTCCCCGTGCTTTTCCTGCGATGTCATGCCAACGATTGACGATGACGCTGCCCGATGACGATGACGACCACGCATTTTGTGTCAACTTAGGAGGAGTATCTCGGAGTATCTCCCCTCAACCGCCACTTGGGATATCGAATTGATAAACCGAAAACGTTAGACAACTTGGGGAGTTGGGGGGGTTTGAGGTGGACGGAGAGATGGTTACTTTGTATGCATTCAAGTCTGGCCGGTAACATTTTTCTATGCGAAAGGCATACATGAGAAGCCATTGACCAGCAATAAAATGTTCGTATAAGTTGTACGTTTTAAATTCAATTAGTTAAGTTTCAATTGATTATACTAGCCGTTTAGCTTTTAAGCGAGCTATTCTCAATGACTTAAGAAGTAAATTTACTTAAGAATATCAGTTATATAAAACTGGGGTTTGCTCTACCTTAAACAGCCATATATTTCAATATATGACCTTAAAAATTACTAAAAGCTCATTTATATAGTTTATAACTTTGTTTTTTATGTTCCACAATTTACTACCCAACGTATACTGCCTACTACCAACTTTTTTTCTCAGCCGTTCGCCGACTGCGCCTTTATGTGATTTAACTTCTGTTTAATTTTCCATTAAATAAGTTTACACATAATTAAATTCGCCGCGCCATTTAAATACGCATCTTCCAACCGAGCGCAACAATTGCATTGAGCGCTTTTCATTTCTTTCCCATTTTTATTGTTAATTTTTATGTCGTTTGCGTGAGACCTCAGGGGCATGAGGTCTCCCCTCCCTCAGTCACCAAAATCCCTGACCAAGGGCCACTTGTCGCTGGAGAAAAACGATGAGAAGAAGCCCACGCAGCTAATAATGCTTTACGATCTCGGCATGTCATTTGGACTCGGGAGCTACCTGGCATCCAAAGTTTGTGTGGGATGGTTCGTCTTGGAAGAGATTTCAAATTGAACCGCATCCGAATTTATTTGAGTGAAATATTTGAAAGTAATTATTTGCCATGTTAAACAGAGAACTCTGTTTTAAAAATATTATTTTAAATGAAAAACATTGGTGATGGTTAAAGCGATGGTCACATTGAGTATGCTTTTTAATCATGTTTTAATTAGACAAACAAGAGTTTTTCAACACGACAAGCTATTTTCATGCTCCATTCATTTTCAGAATCTTTTTATAAAAATCACATCCAAATTATTTAGATTTCTAACAGAAAGAACAATTAAATAGTCGGTAAAACTAATTATGTGCAATGTTTAAATAGTTCTTCAAAATATAAATTTTTTTATACATTTTCAACCTATATATATATTTTACTCGTAATTTCCCATCAATGTTGATGTCAACTGTATAGGTCTGTCAAAATTCGAAGCAGTGTTTTGCTCAAAATTGGGAGGCACACGAAAACACAACTACTTTTCTCCGGGGCACAATCAACGAGGTTGGAGACAAACATGCAAAGTGCCCCACTCTAAGAGTCGCGATGCTATTAAAAATTCTACGTAAATATGGCACATTGAACCACTTGGTCGGCAACCACCATCACCATCACCATCCCCATAACAACCATTCCCGAAATCCGCGTTGCGGATGCGGATGTGGAGTCTTTCCCGGAAGTTGTCGTGAGTTACACGACTGGGATCGGCAGAGCGCGGCGAACGACCAGCGTCGGAAGACCATCCCAAAGCTGGTCTACCTGCACAATCCGTGGAAATATCTGGTGACCAAGATCAATCTGTGGAAGCTGAAGTGGCTGTGGGATCGGGACTTCAGTGAGCCGGACTTCTTGGAGGGCGCCAAGCAGGCGGCGATCGTGATGACGGACATCATCCGGCAGCAGAGTGCGGACAAGATCAGCGAGTATACGACTCCGGTGGGGTTCCAGCAGATCACCCGGGACATGCTGCTCTCGCGGAACGACACCCGCCTCCAGCTGGTGAGATTCGAAAGGGAACACCTACGGCGGGCGATTCCCATGAAGGTGGCCACGCGGCAGAACTTCGGCAGGAAATACGCCTTCATAGACATGCTCTTTGTGGGCCTACGGAACACCAAAGACTTCAACACGGCCAGCGAAGTGGTGGAGGTCAGCGAGATCATCCGCCGGATGGACAACGAACTTAAGACCCCGCCGGAAGTGGTGGCAGTTCCGCATCGGATTGTGTTCGCTGAGATCTTCATTCGTTTCAGGAGAGACTACACGGCTGACGCAAGACGAGCTGTTAAGGCAAATGGTCCACAAGCCCACAATTTCCCCTTCAATTCACAGTTCAATGCACCTACAACTCCAACGAGTATGGCCAATACTAAGCCACCCCAAGAACACTTCATACAATCAGCACTGGATCCCATGAGATCCACCCAGAATCCGTCCATGACGGCTCTTCCACCTAACACAAGAATCCTACCGCGCATGGACGATGTGGGCTGGTCGGTGTCCTTCTACAAGATCCTGACCTTCGACGTCCTCAACTACGATCCGCAGTCCAGCAGAAACCAGCAACACCAAACCCACTAAAAGCCTTAGTGTTAGGGTAATCATTGATCAAAAATACCCCGAAATTCAAACCCGTTAGTGGAGTGGAAACAATAATGATCGGCTACTTTTATGTACAATTTGGTTTCAACTTACAATAAATACATTTAGGATTTGTCGTTTTCTCGAAAACAAAAAGAGTTATTTTATAAACCTGGCGGGGGTATTATTATTTCAGTCAGAAGTTTGCTACGCAGCAGAGGAAATATTTCCGATCCTATATATATTCTTGATCAGCATATAGCTTCCATTGGAACAATAGGAAATAAAAAGGGAATATATTACAACTGCTGTGTTTTCATTTTTATTTTATTTTACTTATATAAATAAATATTACTATACAAAGAAATGTTGAGGGTTATGCAATCCCTGAAGAGAAAATCACGAATTTACATATGGATTATAATCAAATTCATCCGATGACTGGTTCTCATGCAGTCATTTAAAACTATTTTTGCTGAATATCGTTTATAATCTGATTCATACAATGACTAGTTCCCATAACTAATGAAACCATTTGAAAACATTTTCGCATGAATATCGTTTAAAATAAAATTCATCTAATGACATGTTCCCATAACCACCATTTGAACACCTTTTTCGCGTGAGTCTTTCAAAGCTCACTGCAACCCACAGGTTCACACCTTTTTTTTTTGGGCCACACACAAAATATGTGTACAAAACGATGTTGTAATGAGGCACATTACACGATTTGATCTTGTTAGCTGATGTTGTGATGTTATTTTTGTCGTTATTGTTGTTTCGGCTCTAATTGGTTTTCCAACATGAGCATTTGGGCTTGGAGTTTTTGGCTGCGGGGCTTGGCCTTGGCGTGACCCAATCAATTTAAATATTCCAAATGATTGAAGGAAATAACATAAATAAATTGACAAATGTATGTACGACAAGCTCGTGTCATTTGATGTTTTTACATCGTGCCTAACACATTTTTGCATAATTCGAACATGTTAAATGGTTTTCGGAAATTTACTTTGGAGGTGGTCCCCTTGGGTCACCAAATCGAAACACAATTAAAAGAGTATGAGGCCCAAAATTGGCTTGACAAATGATGCTGGTTAGGGAAAGTTAAGAGCGGTACACCGAAATTCCATATCGATGATGGACCGTTGACTTAATTAAAGTATGAAGTAATCATGAGCCACATAAAAACTTTACAGGTAATACCTTAAACATTAAATCCATGATCTATTTTAAGCTTTCTTCGATTCTGCAGACATTCATTTAATAGGTAAATACTAGGTCCTTGTGTCCGCCAATTGAATCAAGTTGCTTTGACTGCAGTTGTAAAGGATAATGCTCAAAGTGACAGACCAAGTTCGCTTCCCTTTCATCTCTCCCAATTCCAATTAGTTCCCCTCGGGAAAAGCTATTTGCTCGAGTTAAATAAGACCCAGGTCCCAGATCCAATAATCCCGACAGCCTGCACTGGAACAGGACCCAAAAGGAGCGAATGGGAATAACAAGGACTGTCAAAAGGAAAGAAATAATTTAAATAAGAAAACACAAACAGCTGTTGCAGTTCTGAGCCAAAGATGGAAATGTGCCACTCCCCCCGGGAGGCGGAAGCTCCTGAGCCAGCGACACTGTACAAGCAAAAGGGATAATCTCATTATAATGAAACGCAAGTTATGCACGCCCAGCCGGCAGCCGCTAGATGGCGCCAGTCAAGGCGTCACTCAAGTGTCGCACGCGCCCTCGGCTTAGGCGTCGAAAAAAAAAGATTTAAAAAACATCTTAAAAAAAAAAAAAGAAAGATAAACAATCTGATGAGAAAGGAAGCCGAAGACACAGCTGGTATTCTGGTAGTACCGACTCCAAGACTCGGCTTATTCTGCTCTCGAATTGGCCTGGCTGGAGCTGACATGCAGAAGCGGCCATCAAAAAAAAAAAAAAAAAGAAAGGCAAAATTACAAAAATTTATGTGCCATTCAATCTCTGCGGCAGCCAGCTTCTGTCAGTCTGTCCTCTGGATTTGTTGGCCATTTCCAAGGATGTCAGCCTGGCAAATGCCTCCAGTCTGGTCATAAATAACAAATGGGATAGAACTCTCTTTTTATGAAGGCCGAATTCGGGATACTCTCAGGGATATTTGTTAAAATCACAAATAATAAGAAACAAATCATCTAGGAATTTAAAAGTTAACAAAAGTTAAATAACTTTACTTTAGTCTTGGTCACAAAAAACTTTACGTTTCCTTCCTAAATTAGTCAAATTCAGTCCATTGGACTCTTATTCCATTCTTTTAATGATTTACTTTAATTTTTATAGCATTCTTAACCAATATATTTTGGGTACTTAATTATTAACCAAATCCATTCTCATCTTAGACTGCTATTTCTAAGGTTACTTTAAATTCGACCATTTTTAAAAACTACCATCAGAAAAAAGGGAAAAATTAATTAGACAGTTTGAACGCAGAGAAGATTCGCCGAAAATCAGTTAACCGGCTTAATTTCAAACTCATTTGCAAATATTTACCGAGCCCAACAAATCACAGACATCCATCCTAAACCTTTTCGGCGGACCCCAAAACCGGATCGAGATCCCCGCTAGAAAAAAAAAGATAAGTGTAACAGGTGTACACAAAGCACAACGCGCGCCATGGGCTCAAAAGTTTCCATCGTTTTCCTTGCCGTTTTTTTCCATTTAATTTTCCAAAGATTAATTACAAGTCTGGCGTAATGAGAGGATTTCCGGTGCAGGATTTGCTACGTCCTCTTTTTTCCAGCCTTCTATGCGAACTTCGTTCCCCGCTTAACGTTCGTGCCCCTACTACAGAAGCTCATATTTCTTGTGTTTAATAAAAATTGAATGAAATTTATGAAATATTCGCGCGATGTGCATAGAAATGCGCTCGTTCAGGGGGAGGCAGTGGGAAAGTGGCCACCCACCCACCTGCACTCTGAATCTCAGTCTCGACTCGTTGATCTTCATTAGCGGCGCCGCCGTCGCCGCCGTCGCCGCTGCCGGTAAATGTCTTTATAGACATTCCCGGAGACGCCTTGGCAAAGCTTTAAATTTATGGCAACGCATTTGCGGTGCGCGCGCTCTTACGGCCATAATGTGAGGAAGAAAAGCAAGAAAGTCTGGCTAATAAAGCGTCGGCGTTGGCCCCCGCCCATATAGGCGTGTGCCCCCCTCGGCCTATCTGTCCTTTATTAGTTCATTGCTTGGCTGACTCCCCGCCCGGCTCCCTTTGGGCCATATCCATTTACACTTGATTATTTATCGCCGCTCTTGGCCAAGTTAAAAGGAGAGGTGGAGACCTCCCTGGGCGCAGCGGATAGAGCCAACTCCAGACCCCGACCCAGTATAGAGTTGTCACATAATTCTCGACGCTAACAAGCTAAACGCGCTATTTAGCACAACATTTGTAGAATGCCGCCAGATCGGATTGAATGGAAGTGGTCACCTTGGCTACATTGCATAAGAGGTACAAATGCCGAGTGGGAGATTCCAGACTTAAATCATTGGCAAACGGATCGTTATTACAAGCTCGGAGAAATGATCTAAGAGGCCTAAAAATTTACTTTTAAAACAAATAAGTACATGTTCTTTAAAATTGCATAGCCTTGAAGATTTTATGTGAGTTGTAAACTGATTCATCTTATTATTAACTTATTTGTTTTACTGTCTTAAGCTGAAATCAGAAGGTCAAGGTATTAAACACATTCAAAGATGACCCTAGATATTATTTTCATTTTTCTAATTTGAAAATGACTTTTTAAGATTATACTTGTAAAAAATATATGGTCATTTTCATTTATTGGAATTTTTTTTGTTAATTTTGGTTTTCTGACTGGAAGCAAAATACATACATATATGAATTTCTTAAATCTTATAGGAAATAAAATGAGACAGCTAGTCTGATGAGGCAAGTCAGAAGACAAGGATAGCTACTTGACCCCTGAAATCTGCCTGTCTCACTTGCTCTTTTTCAATAATGTGAGTAAGCAAGCTGCACAAATATTTTTTCGCGCCTTTTAAAACTCCGCCAAAAAGTTGAATTCCTGGAAGAACAGGAAAAGAAAACAATGACAAACGGAAACCTTTTAGCGGTAAAAACGAATTGACTGCCAGCGGCACTGATTTAAACGGACTAAAACCACACATGTTTTAAATTTTAAACTTTAAAGCTTGAAGAACTGGGCCACATTTCGATTGCCCCAAAAATTGCCACTTGGCGCCAAATATTTATTATACTCGGCCTGTCTGGCTTGCTGTCAGCATTTAAGAGAATCTGCATAAATCGAAAAATTGAACAAAAGTTGTGTCTTTAATTTAAAACACATTTTGCATGCCCATTGGGGGTGCGGATTCAAAACACTGAAAGAAAATGAGGAAATTAAATATACATATAATGAGAAATCATAAAGATTTATGTATGTATATGTAGTTTTTTTTTTAAATTTACAACACAAGAATATGAAAATATGTATATATTTTATGAAACCAAATAATTTCAAACATTTCTTTTAAATATAAAACCAAATTTATTAAATACATGTTCTTTGTGTTATTTTAAAGGTTTTAGATTTTTATCGCTGTGCACTTTGCACAGCCATAAGGGGAAACAATAAAAACAACGTAGCGCTAAACTGAAACATAAATAAATCTTAAATTTTAAGCACTTAAAACCTGGCAAAACACACACACACACACACACAATGCTGTTTGCGACTCGACAACTTTTGTTTTTCAAAGTTCTTTGACGACGTTGTTTTCTTTCCGTTCCGTTCGCTGTCAAACATGCAATTTCTTTTGGTTTTGCAACGTTCGATTGCTGCGGTAAGGAGGAAGGCGGAACGGGCGGTCGGTGGAGGGGGGAGGGGGCGTGGCAGGGTAAAAGTCTGGGCAGCAGCAACAGCTGCAACAACATCGAAAAGCGAAAACAGCGGCGACAAGGACAAAAGCCAACAATGGATTATTAGTGGCACTTAAGCAAACACGCGGGCAAAAGGGCTGACCAGGGGGGCGTGGCGGGGTCAGGGGTCGAGTGCCACAAGGATATCATTGTGAACGTGAACCATGTGTGTGTGAGCGGTCTCTGCGGTTGTTGTTGCTGCTGCCGACGTCTGATTTATCGCCGAGATGTGGGCGTTTTTAATTAA